CCCCCTCCGCCCACAAGAAATCACCTGATGGCCTTGGCGACCACGGCCTCGGCGTCCCCGCCCCCGCCAGGCCCAGCTTGGCCGCCACGTCGGCCAGGGAGATGCGGGAGTAGGCCGCGGCCACGCGGCGCAGGCCCGAGCGGATCACGCTGTGGCGCAGGCGCCCGACCACGGTCAGCAGGCGGTCGGCGCGGAGGGCGGGCTCATGCGCGTGCAGCGCGGCCGCGAACTCGGCGAGGTCTCCGGAGCGCACGGCCTGGGTCAGCGCCAGGTAGGGCGCCAGGTGCCGCGCCAGCTCCCCGCGCGTCAGCTCCCCGCGGTCCAGCGTCTCGCCCAGCAGCAGCCGCACAACGGTCAGCCACTTGGTGGCGGCCACGCGGAAGCCGGTGGCTGTCAGCGGCGCCTGCACAAGGGTGGGCGGTGGAGATTTCCGGGGCGAGGTTGATCAACGTCGCCGCACGCGCGGCTCCCTCTTTTCTCACCGCCGCCCCCCCGCTCCCGTCGAGGACCACTCTCCCCTCGAGAGCTCCACCTCCCTTCACACACACACCCACCCTGGACCCCCCTCTCCACCTTGCGCACGGCCTGCTGCAGGCACTCCTTGGCCTCGGAGTAGTCCAGGCGCACAGCGTGGATGCGGCCCAGGTGGTACAGGTAGCGCGCCAGCTGCTGCACGTCGCGCGCGGTGTCGGGGCGCTGCGCCCGCGCCCGCAGCGCGTCGGCCTGCTCGTACAGGCCCTCGTCCAGCAGCCCGGCCAGCAGGCAGTTGAGCAGGGTCTCCTGGCCCACCTCATCGCGGCGCAGCGCCGCGGTCTGGTGAGCGGCCAGCAGCGCGGCGCGCAGCGCGGCGCCGCCGCGCCCGGCGCGCGCCGCGCACAGCGACAGCAACGAGGCCAGGCGTGCGCCCAGCACGTCCAGCGTGCGGCGGTTGAAGGCCGCCAGGCGTGCCAGCGCGGAGCTGGCCAGGTCGTGCGCCGCGGCCCACTGCCGCCCATTCACCAGCAAGAGCGTGACCAGGAGGAAAGCGAGGGCCTCCACCTCCGGCAGCGGAGGGGAGGTGGCGGGGGCCGGGGGGGAGGCTGCTGGGGGTCAGGTTAGACATGGCCGCGGTGTCGGCCTGTGGATGAGCAGGGATGCAGCGGTGTGGCTGATGGGAGTTTTGGGCAAGGGAATGCCCGGTGATCGCTGATGCGCTCCAGGCCCGAGCTGCAGCAGCGCAAGGCGGGGCCTGTTCTGGGCACTCCACAAATACACGCCTACTATGGGCCCCCCCTCCCCCCAAAAGGCCCTGCACGGCTGTGGAGTGTGCGCATCCAACCCATCCTCCACCCACCTCATCCAGGGCTGCCAGCAGGGGCTCCAGGGAGGGGTTGCCGGGGGGAATGTGAGCCGTCACAAAGTCCCGCAGGTCCTTGGACTGCATGCGTCGGCGCACGCCCGCCACCTGGCGCAGGACCCGGTTGAAGACGGTGCGGGTCTCCTTGGCACGCACCGCCCGGTCGATCACCGACACCGTCACGGCCAGCTGTTCCAGAACGCTGGCCTCCTCCACGGCAGCCTCATCCTTCCCCACGAGAGGTGAAGGCGACTCGGCGTCCTTCATCTCTATCTCCTTCCCCATGGCCAGCCTTCAGACGATCGGCTCGATCGGGGCCGGGGCGGAAGGGACGACCAGGACAGCTTTGTATTCAATGTAATAACCTGCTCTCCAGAAATATGTTGTGATCTGCATTGACTTGCGGGGCTGAGATCGCGCCTAAGTTGGATCGACTTCCCCTCCCATCTGTGCTCCCAGGTGGTACCCGGTGGACCTCCCAGTCCCAGCTGGATCGGTACCCTTGCCCTGAAAACACAGCTCTGACGAGGGCGTACGCGCTCCAAACAAAATCCCTTCCGCTATTCAGATCGTTTGACTGTGGTGACTCCTCTCCTGATCATAGCAGGGAGGTGGCGAGTCCCTGCCATCATTCCAAGCAAGTCTTGGAGGTATCAGAGGTCTCCAGCGTCTCCCGACTCCGAGAGGGCGGGGAGCGAGGGACGCCTGCTCCAGCTTAAAAGCATGTGAAACGAGATCGGCTGAGAGCTTCGGCAAAGCTCCCGCTCCGTGCCCTACCCCTCCGCGGGCGTCCAGGTCCGTGCTCGGGACCGAAACCTCGAGACCTGACATGTCCGTAACGGTGGTCCTGGCGCACAGCGGCAAGTGCATCGAACTGGAATGCACACCTCATACAAGGTAGGATCGGTACATGAGGCTGCATGCGGTCTCACACAGGTCTGGGGCCCCCCTTTACGAAGCGATCTGGCCCCCACAGGGCGGACGCGGTGCAGGCCGCCCTGGCCCAGCTCACCGGCATCGAGCAGGCGGACCAGATACTGATGCATGGCGGAAACAGGGTGGACGGTGCCAAGACTCTGGCGCAGTACAACCTGCCAGAGGTGAGGGCCTTTGCTGTTTGGCTGGAACAGGGGGGAATGCGGGGAGAGGGTGCAATGCCTCTCTGCAATTCTAGTCCTCGAGGTGGCTCCACCCCAATTCCATCTCAGGACCCGGCAAGCGCTCAGCCAGTCTTCCTGTACAGTCGCCGGCTGATGCGACCTGGAACCCCCGCGCCGCCGCTGGATCCGGTGCCCGAGACCCATGTGCAATGTGAGTGCTGCAGGGTTTGAGCCTTGAGTCGTCGAGGGACGTTCTGGTGTTCATTGGGGATTGACTGAGTGGTGGCGACGTGGCTGCAGGCATGTGGCTAAAGCCCCACTGCCCTTCTATGACCGACGCAGATCCGGCTCCTCAAAGCTGGTCGGCGCCGGGGGCTGGCGTCGGGCAGTGGGAGCCGGGCACCGACTTCATTCCGATACTGGAGAGTCAGCTGGAGGCTGCCACTGCCATCTGGCAGGCCAGTCAGCAGAGGCAAGCTGCTCTGGCGGTGGTGTTTGAGGCGGGGTGCCTGCTCCTGGGCGGGCGCCACTTTAGGCCATCAACTTGCTTGCGACTAATCCCCACTTCTCCTGCGTGTTTCGCCCTGCGTGGCATGCTACACGTGCTCACCTGCACCCTCACCACACGCGCTCCCTGCATCTGCTGCTGCAGGGTTGCGGCCGCCGCCCAGTACCTCGGTGAGGTGGAGGCCCAGGGTCTGTCTGTCGACGCGGCCTGCACCAACGTGGAGCTGCATTACCCCAAGACCGCCGCCGCCTGGGAGGAGTTTTCCACGCGCTTCGCCTCCCAGCACGCCGCCGCCGAAGGTGGATAGGATGGGGGATTTATTTGCGTGGCTAGAGTGCGGGTCAGGGGGTGCGCGTCGTGCTGGGGGCCTCCCCGCTGCGCCTGCCGACATGTTCCTAGACTGACCCTGCTGGGCGGTGCCTCCCTCTTCACCGCCCCCTGGGGCCCCTGTCTCTCCACCCCCCATCAATGCTGCGCCATCTGCCACCCTGAACCCCCTCTGAACCCTTCCCCACCCCATCGCTCCCCCTGCTCTGCAGAGGCGCTGGCGCGCTTCGACTCCGACGCCGCGTACCTGGAGTCCACGCCCCTGCACCCGGCGCTGGCCCGCGCCGGCCCCCTGCGCAGCCTGGCGGACCTGACAGACCTGTGCGCGCTGCGCGGCACCTGCACCTCGCTGCGCTCC